ATGTCAGTCAAAATGAATCCGCTCCACCTGGTCACAGTAAATGTCACAGCCCGAGGTGGAGGTGTGGCAGCGATCTTTGACTCAAGCCTATTTTGATTTGATTTGATTCAGACCCTCTAGGCTGAAAGGAAATGAGGTAGAGGGGCTTTAATAATTAAAAAATATGAATTTCTGTATCATAATGCATTTCATAAGAAAGAAAAGCCTTAAAACTTTGTGATTTGTGAAACAACACACCTATAGATGTAGAGCAACAAAGAAACTCATGCTAAAGTGAAGTTTGAGTGTGGCTACAGTCAGCCATACTTTTTCTTGTTCTCTTTTATTTAGAGTTGATGTCTCTGCAACAGTGTGTGTTCTAACGTGCTGTGAGGACACGACTTGATGTGCGGCTGATGTACTGCCGTTTGCCATGTTAACTTTCATTTCACATAGCGTTGCCTATTAATGACCATAGACTGTTTAGAATATTAACTTTATAGAGTTAATTTTCTTTTCTCTGTGTCTAATTAAACTGTGTGACTCAATTTGTGGTTAATGCACACTTAGGTTTGCTGGCTACTGTAATTTAATGACCTGTAAGGGTACTGATGAACACGAAAACAAAAAATAGCTTGATGGTAATTAAACCAATGGGTGAAACCTTATCTGTGTTGTGGCTGGCTCACTCCGCTGCAGTTAATAGGTGAGAGATGAAAGTGTATGAAATTATAGATGCATGCTCGAAAGGCTGGGAATTATGTGAAATTGAAGGAGGCTTGAGGAAGGGACTATTAATCAGAAGAGAGCGGTTTAAACCTTTCTGTGAAGTGCTCATTGTGGTAAAATCCCATTAACAGGCATTTTAGTCTGAAGGTGACAGCGATGCTTTTATTTTTAGAGAAACACCAGCGTGTGCCCATTTTTTTCCGATTCGCACAAGGACACAGTATGAGACACTATCATTTCACAGTTGTTTGGGATTTTTAATGTAGCTTCACGAAATGAAGAAACAGAAAATTAGGCTTTTGAATAAGATCTAAAGCTGTTGCTCAAACAACGGACAAAAGAATAAAGAGGACAATGAGCAGGGGTCTTGTTTACCCGATAAATAAAAGGTTAGCTTTATAAACACTAACAAAAGAAGGATTTTTATACAATACCTTGGAGGTCTGTGTGATGCTTTGCTGTGCTGTCAATGATTTGTATCATTTTTGCTGCTTCTAAAAGCTTAATTTCTCCCTTTATGATTCATAGTACTGGGAAAGTGGCAAAATGTGCCGATGATATGTAGTGAACTGGAGTTTAGCCAATGATTTGCCTGGAAAATTAATCTAATTTTTATAATTGAGTAATCGTTTCAATCACAAGCAAATAAGCCAAATGTTCTTTGTTGCTTCATAAATGACAGGATTTGATGCTTTTCTCAGTTTTACATCATTGTACATTGAATGTCTTTAGATTTATGGCTGTTGTTAGACAGAATAAACATATTGTTTTTTAATGTTGTCTGATATTTTATAGATAAATTAATCATTTTAACAAGACAGCGATGACCAGATTATTCAGTAATGAAAATAACTAAAAGGTTCTCTGATCAGCCATAACATTATGACCACTGAGGTGACATGAATAACACTGACTATCTGTTACAGTGGCTCCTGTCAGTGTGTGGGGTACATTAGAGTGGTTAGTACCTACCAACAGTGTCTAAGGAAGGACAAATGATAAACTGGAGACAGGGTCATGGACGCCCATGGCTCACTGATGATGAGGTTGATCTACTGTAGATTAAAGCTTTAACTTCCATTTGTACTTTTAAAAAGATTAAAGTTTATTTGAATCTTTGTTAAAATGGTTGAAAATGAGAAACACTGTCCATTGGTCTCTATGAAGAGAAAGAGTCAGGGTAGTGGTGATATCACACCTAGAGTGGGGAGGCTGTTGAATCTGTCTAAATAATTCTCTCTAACTCGTCCTCACAGCCACAGTTTTCACTCCTTTTATGTAAGTGAGTTGTAGACACATGTGTGCTCTTCCTGACAGTAGAACTGTGGAAGTAAATGGATTCACAGAAGATGCACAGTGAGCTGCAGAGTGACAGGAGTGTCAACCAACTGCCATATTGACTCCTACGTAAACAGTATTAGGCAGGTGGTCATAATGTTATGGCTGATCGCTGTAAGTCCTTGTTTTGCCAGGTGCCTTCCCAACCTGTGTGAACACGGAGGCCACTGCTTTCAGACGTGGAGCTCCTTCTCCTGCGACTGCTCAGGAACAGGATACTCCGGAGCAACCTGTCACAACTGTGAGCAGCTCGTCTCACCTTCATTTTGTCACCTTGTCTCCAAACTGCTATTAGAGCCTCTGCATCTCTCATTTGTTCTAGGTCTACTGAGCTGTGTCATTCAGTACAGCACACAAAACTTTACTTGCTCAGAGGTTTCCTGAGAGTAAAAAAACATCCTGCTTCAACTTAACATGACCTCACAATATTTGCTGCTGTTCTTGCTTTCAGATTTTGGATAATCTGTTTTTTACTAAGTCCCTAAATAGCTTTAGACTTGCTGGCTGTAAGCTGATTCAACATGTAGTATTTTTGACACCCTCCAGCATCGCCTTGATATTTGGAAACTGATGTCACCATATGCGAAATTCCCCTGCCCCAGAATACTGATTTCTTGTTTATATGCAGGCGGATGCAGTTCTCTTTGCACGTCAGAGGAAGCAGGACAGAAAAGAGCATCTGCTGAATTAAAAATAAGTCCTTTTCTTTCAACTCAACTTCCTCAGTAAAACACATAAAATCAACTTTACTATCTACAGCTCCAAAAGCCTGAGTATTTGGAACCAAACTAACAGTTTAAGCTTAAGAGTGACGTACCACAGTTTGGAGGGTGGTGTCCTTTTGTCTTTCCAAACTGATAAATAAAAATGCAAATGTAGAGAAATGTACTGTATGTTAGCGCAGCCGACTAACAAATTACCTACAGTAGTAACCTAACCCAGCGTTTCTTAGAAAGATGAGAAGAATTTCAAAGTTCATTATTTTATTGGGTTACAAGTTATGTTTAGAAGAACTTTCACAATAGCATGTTCACTACAGTATCAGTACTGTAGTAGTATTTTCCATGGACTTTGGCCTGGATGCTACAATGTTTTCATACTCTTAGCCATTTTTGTTACATTTCTATTACTTATATTATTTGAAAATACAAATAATAAGGCATAAATCTAAGCCTTGTGTTGTCTTAATGTGTAGCTAAACAGTGAAACATTGTTATAACAAATTGTTATTTTTAGAATGGCCAACAGCGGTGCCATTTTGTGTCTTTTTGTAATTGTTTTGCATAGCTTTGTGGTTGTTTGGCATCTCCCTTTGGCCATTCTGCAGCTTTTTTTGTAGTTATTTTATGTCTTTGCAGTACAACTGTGACTGTGTGGTTGCTGTCCATCTCTTATGGTCATTCCGCATTTATCTGTAGTGGGTCTTTGTAGTAGTTTTGTGTCTCTTTGTGGTAGATCTGTGTGTGTTTGTAATTTAATCACCTTCAAACAGAGGCTCTGGCCCAGGGGTCCCCTAAACCCTTGGGCAGACCAAATTATTATCAATCCATGTGTGCTGTGCCAGACAGGAAAGTGACTGATGTAGCAACAGGAACTAACATGGGCACAGTAAACAATCAGTGTGTTTGGTTTCAGGTGCTTTAATATGGAGGATCACATGAGGAAAAATACATTTGTTTTACACATCTTATTCAGATCCTTGACCTTTTAGAGATCCGTTGTTTTGAGTGGACAGTTAATTAAGCCACATGCAAGATGTGATCAGGCCTCTCTGTAGCCATGCAAAGTATAGTTTGTAATATCCAAATCTGAGTGGTGGTTGTGCCATAATTTGCATCATTGCAAAAACATAGATATACACTATATATATATATAGAACAAAACATTTCCACCAACCACCACTTCACTTTATTTTAAAGGTATGAAAACAACAATAAAATCATTTATACACAGTTCGTGAATAAAGGTAGATTATGTGCATGAGATGACTCAGATATGTAAAAGCTGTTGATGTGTGGGCAGATTCTTGGAGGGGTCTTTGATTTCTGTCCCTCTCTGCCTCTCTCAGCCATTTATGAGTCATCCTGTGAGGCCTACAAGCTGCTTGGCAGCTCCTCGGGCTTCTACTCCATTGATCCAGATGGGAGTGGTCCCCTGGGGCCCACACAGGTGTACTGCAACTTGACAGGTGAGATCACTTTAGTCCATATGTTGTCACCTTTACTCTTGTTGAGTCTCACTGGGAACTGACAGAAAGTTCAGAGTAAAGGGTCCACTCACTCACAGGTCAGTCTGCGTCGATCGATTCCACTGTGGCTATCTGACAGTCGACCATCCAGTAAGAAATCGTTACGGCCACTTAGGGAAATTCCTGAGAGCTGATCTGTGTCAGTGATCTTTTGTAAAGGCCCATGTGGTTACACTGCATCAATTCAGCATCTTAAATAGCCATTTTATTACTTACTGGGTCAAAACTTCCTACTTTCTTAAAACAACTTGCAGCAACGCCTTGAGACATGATGTTTGTATAACATCCTGCTTATGACGTTATTGCAGCGTTCAACCAAATAATGCAAGAATCCAGTGGTTCAGTGTCAGAAATCAGACACGACGTTATGGCTTCTCAAATTAAGAAGCGTTGTGGAAAGATTACATCTTAACAAGCTTAGTCTAAAGCCCCACTAGTGGCCTCTAGAGACTGCAATTTTCATTAGTGCATGCGGTCATTAAAGTTAAAAGGGTTAATCCCCTGGAGAACATTAATCTGCTCAGTAAATTTCATGGCAATGTGCCAGTAGGTTATGATATTTTGTGTGCAAGGCTGACAGTTTGTGTTATCCTGAGGAAAGCGTAAAAGTGAAGGTTTTGGCCTGACTCACCAAAACTGTTAGTATTCATCATGTTTCAAACAGGAATATTCACATCAGATTTCATAGATATTTGTCCATTGTTTTTAAAAATACCATGTCCTGATATTTATGTCTTGCTCAAGGATGATCTATTGATGTGTTGCTAAAGGAAGCCGAAAGCTAAGAGGCTAATAAAATCATCATAGATTGTGTCTGGGCAGCACTGATATCCATACAAAGCTGCATTAGTTGGACTCGTGTAACCAGCTTCATGTTACTGGTGAAGGAGAAGTGGCTGTTTGAATGTGGGAACTCGCCCCGTCAGACCTGCTGCACCACTGTAATCTTCTGAAGGCGAGAACACAGTGTGCTCTGTATCATCTGAACGGTCTCCTGAGATGTGACATTTGACAGACAGGGAGAGGGACACAACATGATCCACAGTCCTGGTGACATATAGGACAAAACACATTCAGTTAAGTTTTGACACCCTGGAGACAGTGTTCGCCGCTTAGCTGTCACAACTTTCTCAGTCTCTGTGTCCTTTGCAAGGTTAATGTAGCAGGGATGCCATTACAGAGGGAGAGCGCTGCCATCCATTGCTGTCTGGCTCTGGCATTTTGTGCTTTCAGTCTTCCCCGCACACATTGACAGCAGCTATGCCTCAACTCGACCTCAATTAAGGAATCTATTAGAGATGTAAATAACTCTAAGCCTCACAACCTAATGTGAATAATCCTAAAGTGGAGGGGGATTTACTCTAAGGTAGAGTAAACCGAAAATTCAGATAATGAAAAATGAGTGGGGGTGGAAATAGCATGCACTCTTCATCTGATTTTATCATACACTTGACTCCCTTTAAATGTCTATAAAATCAGTCAGAAACGGGTCGAAATTTAGTGTCTCATATTAGCAACAAGCTCAGACTGTTAGCAAAAAATAGATCAGCTGCGATAACTTCATAGAGTGAGTATGGAGAAGGTAATCAGGTTGTTGCTGGGAAACCGCTGCATTTAATAGGCTTTCAGAAAACTGCCAAAATCCGGGGTCACCAGCAATGGCGACGCTTCAGCCGAGAACACAGAATGCCTTACTGTCTAACTAACCTGGCCCAGTGCTGACACATATAGGAATTGTACAGTACCATGGTAAACCCAAACACCTAAAATCATTCCTTTTTATCCATCCATTAATCTAGTGTATATTTGTGATCTTTGAAATGTAGCTCATGTTCTGCCATGTTCAGTTCAACTTCCCATTCTTATGTATGGTGCTATATTTTGTTACCTATCTTTTAAAAGAGGGTATTTGCATTAAAAAACTTCACACAGTCATCCTGGCTCATCCAAACTCTTGCACAAAAACCATTTTCTGTGGCGCTATAAAGCTATTACCTTATTCTAGAAATGCTCTAATTCTATCAACCCTGGAGTTGAGATGTAATAATGTAATGTAACAGTGAATTCCCTTCATGACATTGCACTAGAACAAAATACAAAAAACATGGGATGTTGTATTCAGAGTAAAAAGGACACGGAAGGTTAAAGAAAGGTTCACATATTAGCTGTAGAAGCTGTGGGTGGCATGCTAGCACAACAATGAGGACGCGGTGGGAGCATTGTGTTCCTCGGGGTTTGTGTTAACAGGTCATCACTCTTAAAGTAAACGAGGCATTTGCACAATTTATTTTGTTGTAGATTTAGTTTTAAGTGGATTAAAACTGCCATTTTTTCTTTGGACTGAATAGCTCATAATAAAAAATTGGAAACATTTTAGAAATGTTTATACATTTCTTAAAAATAAAAGACTGAAACAGTTTGCTGTGTTTCCAAACGGTGGGCAGGTGCATCTTGTTCGCTTTAAATATCCTCCAGTTGTGTCTTCAACTTGATTAAAGTCCACCTGTAGAAGACTGTATTGATTGGATGCTGCCTGTCAGGACAAAAACCAAGCCATGAAGTCCCAGGAACTCTTTGTTAGACCTCTGTGATCAAACTGTAGTGAAACACAGATGAGGACAGGGACTCCTCCCAGAATCAGCATCCAACCAAAGTGTGTAACTAGATGAGATGATCCTTGGTCACGGAAGAGACCAAGAAGCCATGGTACCTCAGACAGAGTTTTAGAAGTCCTCCGTAGAGATGGGGAAGCTGCAGGAAGCACGACCATCTCAGCAGCTCTCCATCAGTCAGGCCTTTAAACAGAAGACAGTGAAGCTGTTTGGTGTTTGTCAAACAGCTGACAGACTCTGAGAGGATGGGGGTGAAGATTCTCTGATCTGATGAGACAGAAACTGAGCACTTTAGAGAGAGTGACCTGAGACTGCAGGTGACACTGACCCACAGCATACAGGCAAGACGACGCTGGAGCGGCTTCATGACAAATCTCTGACTGTCTTTGAGTGACCCTCTGAGTCCAGACTTCAACCATTAGTACATGAAGAGACCTTCAGGAGGGACCTGACTTGACCTGACTTTATTTTTACTATACCTTTCATACAAGGTTGTACAAGTCAAAGTGCTTTACAGGAAACTGGCAATAAGAAATATTAAGGCAGTTACTGTAGGTCAAAATGAATAAACACTAAATAAAATCAAATGGTAAAATAATGCAAATCAATAAAATTGCTATTAGAATCAAATAAAAACTACATAACAGTGACAAATAAAATATATGAGAAAGAAGAATAATAGTAATACAGAACAAAATAAGGACAGTAAAATCTTCTAAAGAAAAACCAAACAGACGAGGTAGGTTTTGAGTTCAGCCTGTAAACATGGACACTTTCAGCTTCTCTCAGCTCGCCACACTAAAAATTACAAGGTGCTTTACCAGATGTGTTTGTCCTGCACTTTGGAACAACTAAAGGACTCATTCAAGAGGCTGCATGGGTTCGTACACTGAAGCAAGTCTGATAATGAGGCTGTTGCAAGACAATGAAGTGCTTTAAAACAAGTAAAAGAAAAGCTGACGGGCGACCAGTGTAAAGACTTTAAAACAGGTAGAACAAAAGACTTTTCACCTCTCATCCAAGAGGCTTCATCAGTTCTGTCTGACTGGACACACAAACGCATGGCCCAACACAGGAGGGCCAACTCCAGTGGACCAGAGTCAGCAGTCCACCTCCACCTGAAGGACAAAGGACATTTTTTTGAGGACAGTGAAGTCCAGATCCTCTCCAGAGAACATCGCTGGTTTGAGAGAGGAGCTAAGGAAGCTATTTTTGTCCAATCAGAACACCCCTCACTAAATAGGGGTGGTGGACTAAGACAACTTGTCTTCCATCTACAACTCTGTTTTGAGATCACTGCACAAACATGCCCAACCTAATTCACACCTGGACACATGTGAGGGTTCAAAGACGGGTAACAGTGCTCACCGATACTGGGCTACAGTGACTCAGTCGTTAGGGGACATTGTTGGCCTTCAAAGGACTGAAACACCACCCAGGGGATAAAATATTTCCTGCTCACCACCAGTTGGACGAAACTGATGAAGCCTCTTGGATGACAGGTGAAACGTCTTCGACCTAAAACCAAGTCCAGATGATTTTTTTTATACATTTTTTTCAGCATACTACAACCTGGATGACTGAGAATTTGCACGGTCAAGGTGCCTGTGTTCTCGCCTTCTGGTCCTGGTCAGCACTCGGCCAGCAGAGTTCTGAACCAGTTAGAACTGATTTATGAATTTATGACTTTTATGGGTCAAGCAGAGAGCAGGGCTGTACAGTCGTCCAGTCTGCTGGATATAAGAGCGTCTGTTAATCTCAAATGGCTGCACTTCAGTGATTTGGTGACAAAACCCACATGAGCCTTAAAGTTCAGTTCTGAATCAAAAATGACACCTGTAGGGATCTGGCATGTTGGATCTGGGTCAGCTCTGGAGGATTTCATGTTGTGGCCAGTTTCTCTCTGTGCCTTTGACCCTGTAACTAAACTGTCAGTTTTATGAAGATGGCAGTTCAGACTGTTCCTATCTGATCTGACGGAGCTTGAGAGGATCTGCCAGGAAGAAGGGAATAAACTTCCCACATGTGCAGAGCTTTTGGAGACTTACTCAAGATGACTGGGAGCTGTAATTTATGGGGCTTCTACAAAGTACTGGATTAAGGATCCAAATACGCTGTAAATCAGAGAATTCAGCTACGGGTTTTTAAAAACCTTTTTGAAAATTACAAAAAATACTTTGTCATTTTGGGTTATTGAGTGTCGACCTGTGGGCGAAAATGGCTGCTTTATCTTTTTAAAATTACATAAACAGCACAAAGTGTGCAGAAACTGGGTCTGAGCATGTTCTGACGGCGGCCCCTGCTGCCGTAATCCTGTACGTGTGCACACGTTTTTTGCTCAATATTTTCAGCTGGCAGTCACTGCACGATCGACATATGGTATAGGCTATAGAGACATATAATTTAAATGTATGGCCCAAAGAGCTATCTAATATGATACCACACCCCCCTAGAGTGGAGCGTATCATTTGTACTCCCTAATCCCTGCACAGCTGGGAATGAGTGACAGCAGCCACATACTGACTTTACCCGCTGTCAGTAATGCTTTTAAAATCATCAGGATGTGCAGGGTATTTTTTTTATTGATCACAGCTCATGAGATGCATTCATGTGTTATTTTTTAGGCTAATTATGGTGGGTGCATTGAAGTGTCAGATCAGTGATTCTCAAGGACCGGCTAAAATATAATTGTTCAGGCACCACAGCTTTCTGAGGTTTGTGCTTGTGGATGAGAAGGTGTTTACACTGGGTTTATGATGACAGATTAACTTTTTTCTTTTAGAGGAGAAGGTCTGGACGGTGTTGTCCCACAACAGCACAGCTCCAGTCACAGTCCAGCACTCCTCTCTTCAGAAGCCTCACATCATGAAGTTCAACTACAGCACGTCGGCCGAGCAGCTGCGTGCCGTCGTGTCGGGGTCGGAGCAGTGCCAGCAGGAGGTGGTGTACAAGTGCAGGAAGTCCCGTCTCTTTAATACCAAAGGTACTTAGTCTAAATGTCAGTGTGTTTGTTCAAACCAAAGATACCAAAACCTTACACAGCAGTCTTGAGACAGCATTTTGCAACTCTGGAAAGTTATCAGCGTGGCACCTGTTTTATCTTTGGCCACAGTGATGATAAAGTAGAATTCATGTTACAAAGTAATCTACCAGGAGTATACAGCTGCTCATACTATAGTATGTATTTGTTTGGCCACCCTGGTGCCGTGCCAGATGACACTGAGATGCGTCAGGGCAAAAACTGGCCAGCGGCCAGTGCTTGAAGTCTGAAGAAAAGAGTGCTGGTACTCCCCTTGTGCCCCTTACAGGGGGTGGGGTGAGGGGCATAATGTTCAATCTATTGTGTTTACAGCTTATTTGCCCCTAATTGGCCAAATAACAAATGGGCCTTTTAGGTTTAAATAGAATGTACACAATGTGGATATACTTCTAATAATTAGAATCATAATATTTAGCTATTTATTCATTATTGATAGCAGGTAAAGTAAAAAAGCTCATGTTAGGGAGTAGAAATGTATGATCCACTTTAGGGGTCTTTAAGGAATGTGTGCTACAGTATCATAGGTTATAGATGCTTCTTCAGGGTATGACTGTTCCCTACATTCAAAGTACACTGTTCAGAGTAAGCTGCAACCCTAATCGCGCAAGTAAACCTTAAAACATTTGTTGTTGCTACTGGAAGAGCCAATATAGAGGGCAGAAGAGAATACCGCTGACAGCTTGTGAGAAGTGCCGGTACAAGAGAAAGTCCCAGTACACAAAAGAGTAAAATGTAGAGGTGCCGGTACGGCGTACCGTTGTGTTCCAACCCAGTTCAAGCACTGTCAGCGACCCCTGTTTTTGTCAGACCCTTCTGCACTGGCACTGCATCGCCATACTGGCCTCATTCTAATGAGTGAGGAGGCTGTGTTTTCACGCTTGGCTGGAGTCAGTCTAAACGTGGCCTTAACGTAGCATCAAGGGAGAGTTTGCTGTTGAATTGTAAATTGAAAGCCAGGCTGTTTGTGCTTTGTCACATTGGGAGCGGCTGCCCCTTCAATACCCTCCCTCCTGCTTTGCTCTCCTTGTTATATTTTCATAAAGGCAGTCTCCAATCCTTTTGTGCACATTCATTTTGAACTGCTCTGGCATCCGTGGTGTCCCCAACATCCAAACATTTGCTCTTAAATCATGAAACATTCATGAAGTCCCAGATTTTACCATTCCCTAGGTGCCATGTGTGTGCAAACAAACAAGTTCATTATCACACCAGACTTCAAAGAGAGATAGAAGACAAGCTATTTTATAGCTGTGCAACACTTCCATATAAGTGCAGGGTTTTTTTTTCATGGTTATCTTTGTTGTCTGAGAACAGCCATCTCCTGAAGAAAAGGATCACAAGTCTCTTTGCACCACACTTCTCTGAACAGGCAGATACAAACAAAGCCCCTTTTGACAACAAACACTCTCAACAGAATATTCAAATTAATTATTGGACTAAATTGCACATATGATGCTAATTTACAGGGAGAACAACAACAACAACCTACTGGGTTTACAGATGCAGGCATGTGCCAAGAAGTGGAGTTCAGCTGTATAACATGTCTGCCATCTGTCCTGTCACTCTCTGCTGTTCACTTAAAACACACTTCAGGTGAACTGTGGTACATTTGCATTGTTAAACATGTTTTTTTCTTATTTAATACCCATAATAAATGAAGTTTGTTTAGGATTAACTGGATTTTAAGATGTAACATGTTTATTATTTCACTGTAAGTGAAGTAATGAACGTTAACACCAGCAGTCTTGTTTGTATCCAGCGATGCGTTTGTTTTTGGCTCTATTGTCTATTTGCCTGTGTTTTCTTAAGCAGCAGTGCACTGAGCTTTGAGGGCTGCTGTAGTCTCTCGAGTTCATGTCTACCTGCTTCATGTTTCTGCATGAAAACCTTAAAGCTGCATGAGGCAACTTGACATTTAGAAAACCTTCATTAAGGCCACGCCACACTCGCTTGCGTGCACCTGACTGCTCCGCTGGTCTGCTGGTTTATATGAAATGACACCAACACAATTAGAAAGCCAGTTAGGTTTCACTGTGGTTCTTGACTGGAGATGCAGTGTGCCAGGTCACTGGTCAACCAGCAGCTCTTGAGAGCAATCTTGTATTGAACAAATAAGTACACTTACACTTACACTCCTGCATTCTTAGTAGTTAGTTCGACAGGGATGCACTGCCAGTGTGAGAAGACAACTAGCTCTTATTTCTATACAGTTTAAATGCTCTTATTGCAAATCATTTTGGACAAAAGAGTCAAACTGTTGTCGTGTGATGTGTTAATTATCATCTGAAAGTCTACTTCAGTATTTTAGTTTTTTGTTCCGCTGTCTGTACTCCTCTAACACCACCCTTGTTCCCAGCCGGGTTTCGTTGTGGCTGCTTTACACGGCTTTATTCAGTAGTTATAAAATAAAAAGGAGGGAGAGGGAAGCATTTCCTTTCATTCTGTGAATAAGTCTTGTCAATATCCAGACAATTTAAGAGAGCGAGTGAGATGGACTTTTCCTTCAACAAGTATTGATTGTTGCCTTTTCTTATTTGTGTGCCTGTTCAGTAGCGGAATAGTGTTTCTGATAAAGCAGCAGAATACAAGGGATGTGGTGTAAGTGCAAGGACGGGGAACGAGGGTAAGGACAATAAAGCGCGTGTTATTTTTTTCAGCCTTTGTAATGCAGATGCTGGCTCTCTGGCCAGGGTTATCCTGGCCTGCATTGTTTCCTCTCATGCCTTTTACTTCACTACAAGTAACTTTAGTCTTTCTAACTGATGGCTGCCCTGAGGCAGTAAACTGCCTGGAGAAGATTTCCAGTGAGGGCTATATGACGGACTGATGGCATCTCACAGTGTTCACCGTCTCAGCCAGGTTCTCTGACACTAATGTGACATGTGTATCCATACATAAAAACATTGCCTAATGCAGCTGTAATTTATGGGGAGGAGAGAAGCACCATAGCATATGACACTTGATTATGTATAGTGACATGTAGCTTAATGGGCTTTTGCCTGTTCGCTGGCCTCCTCTCCAGTGCAGGGTCACGCTGTGTGACAGATGATTAAAGCTGAACCACTTAACCTCACAGCAGAGGTGATGAGTTGTGCTTCGGACTTTCTATCATTATTGTGCTTATACATATTTAATGTAAAGTGTTTATAGTGGTTTTCAGAAAGCTCTTTGTCGAAGCCGTCAGCTTCCTGCACAGGTTTTTCTTTATGTACATGAGTATATTTAAATTGAATCTCTCTCTATGATCTTGCACGTTGCTGTATTTTTAAGGGCAAACAAAAAGACACAAAGTGTGCTTGATTTGGTTTTTGTGTCACCCACTGCTTCCCAAAACCTGATCTCTGGACTTCAGACCAGAATGGTGTCATTATACTGTGATTATTTTTCTTTACCTGTCTATTCCCAGTTTTATCTGCTCATGTTATGTAGGCCTCTGACAAAACAGGATTACTGAATTTATTACTAATAAATCTTTGACTTTTTGTTGTGTTGGTGCTGTTTCAGTTTTTCAGCACATTGTTCTTGTATTTTAGGATAACGCCTGTGAAGCAGTACCATGCAATCCTCCAAATATAACCCATGACCTTGACCTACTTGAGCTGGAGCTCTGGCACTGGCAGGGATCAGGCCGTTGCAGTGGTGACTGAGTGTTTGGTGTATTGTTGCAGATGGCAGTCCGCTGTCCTGGTGGCTGGATCGGGAAGGGGAGAGGAGGAGTTACTGGGGAGGCTTCCTGCCTGGGGTCCAGCAGTGCTCCTGTAGCCTGGAGGAGAACTGCATGGACATGAACTACTTCTGCAACTGTGATGCCGACAGAGACGCATGGTAACGCAGACACAAACTGGTATATCTGGTCCTGACAGAAGTTTATTTTCCTTTTTGGCAGGATAAATAACAGAAACCTGAATAGTACATCCTAACACTGATCATACAGTTGAATCGACACAAAATCAGAAAATGATAACCCTCATAACGAGAGGATTTATTACAGGACTGTTGCATTAGACTGGATTAGTGTACCTAATAAACTGACAGCTGAGTGTATATCTAACCCACAGAGGATCCTCATTCAGGTTGTAAAATAAATGGGGAAACTAGAGATTAGTAGACCTACCACAAGAGGAAAAAAAGATTAATACCATCAGAGGCGTCTCATAGCAGAGAGCACCTCGTCGGTACATCCATGGACTACTGCTGTGAGCTAATCCACAGAAAGACTTCACTGATAGAATTTATGCCTAATTAATTATTTCACTGATTAGGCATTCAACTAAAATCTATTCAGAGAATGTTCCTGAACAGAACAGTTCAGTTTGTTTTTCTTCTGCATCTGTCTACTGACACTCACTCACTGTGACTTTGGAAAATCAAAAATCTGTCTACTGACACTCACTCACTGTGATTTTGGAAAATCAAAAAACCTATGCAGTGGGGCAAATAAGTATTTGATACACCGCCGATTTTCCAAGTTTTCCCACTTACAAAGAACGGACAGTTCTGTAATTTTCATCGTAGGTACACCTCAACTGTGAGACAGAATCTACAAAAAAATCCAGAAAATCACATTGTTAGATTTTTAAATAATTTATTTCCATTTTATTGCATGAAATAAATATTTGATACAACAGAAAAATAGAACTTAATATTTGGTACTGAAACCTTTTGTTTACAATTACAGAGGTCAGACGTTTCCTGTAGTTCTTGACCAGCTCTTCACACACTGCAGCAGGGATTTTGGCCCACTCCTCCATACAGGTCTTCTCCAGATCTTTCAGGTTTTGGGGCTGTCGCTGGGCAACACGGAGTTTCAGCTCCCTCCGTAGATTTTCTATTGGGTTCAGGTCTGGAGACTGGCTAGGCTACTCCAGGACCTTGAAATGCTTCTTACGGAGCTACTCCTTAGTTGCCCTGGCTGTGTGTTTGGGGTCATTGTCATGCTG